GAACTGTAAATATGAACTTTGTCGTCTTGTAAGTTGTAACGTTCAAGTATTTTAATATCGGTTCACTCGAATATACATCGAACTACGAAGCGCAATCGTTTCGAAACCATGTAAATAGATGCATCCAAAGAGTACATAATCACTACGTTTTAGATGCACCTGCACGAGACTATTTTATATAAAAGGGTTCACAAATTCTTAAGTAAAATATTGAGTTTCTGTTTCATTGATTTATAAAACAAATATTAGTACAAATAAAATCGCTCTCAGAGTTTCGAAGTAATGCTTCAAATGAAGAGTACATATAAATATAAATAAATACATTGAGAAATAGCGGAAAACACGGTGTAGATAATTACTCACCGTATAAAACATGTCGCTAACACAAACAATGCGAACTATATCATCCGCATATGAGCTTCATACCCGAACAATGGCACCATTAAAACTCATAAATGATTTTCAATTATAAGTGAACCTGTTGATGTTCGTAACTCTGTGCAACTGTTGTGTACGACGAAGGCATCCTTGTAAATCTTTATCTTATCAGTGTAATAGCTCATCAGTAACACGATAAGAAATAACATATTGAGACGTCGGATACCCATAATAACATCAGCTTTTTCACTTTGTAAAATATTATAAAGGGACGTTAACTATAAAAGAAATATATTACGGAACACTTTTGGAGACCGGCCTATAAGATTCCCCTGATGGTTATAGCAGCACTTGGACTCACAGCCAACTTGACGACAAACTTAATCAACAGACAAACGAAATTGATGAACAAAAATAACGACGACAGATGCGCGAATATCTAAAGACTAAGTTCAAATGCCTCACGGCCAAAATTAAATTTATGGATTGAACTATGGTTGAATATAATTGAATAGAATAATTTTATTCAATATACATATATTACAAGTAATAATAATTAATAGTGATTTATGCATCAATCTCTGGTTTGAAAAAAGCCTTTAAGAAATACTTTTTTTTTTCAAACAAAAACATATAATAATTTGTTGTACGATTACACATAAAGATATATACAGCAAAAAATACTCGCTGGGTTCCTCGCCTGTTCGTTATTATTACATCATACTTATTTTCCGGACCATAACATAAACACTCACGCCTGTCACCCGGAGGGGTAGGCAGAGACTACAAACTTCCATTTGGCACGATCCTTCCTGACACAGCTCTCTCGCCCCCTTGACATCCATATACCTACGCATACATGCTCGTCGGTTAAGGATGCTCTTAATTTGGCCCGTTTTTAATAAATAGCCAATTTGGTCGATAAATCTTCGCAGTCCCTTTCCGACTCTGTCATTCACTTCTGCAACATAAATTTTCTTTGTCATTCTTTCCTCATTCATTCTTTCCACATGACCAAACCACCGAAGCATTCCTTTCTTAATCCTGGTCACAACATCATCTTGCAAACCACACTCTTCTCTTTCTCACCCTGTCATTCAGATTCAGCCCTAACATACTTCTTAACGACCGCATTTCTACTGCGTTCATTCTACTCTCGTGCTTCTTCTGCCACACCCAACTTTCACTACCATACGTTAAAGTAGGGACCAACACAGCATTGTGAATTGCCATACGTGCCTTTTTCAACACATTTTGACTCCTCACGCGTTCAACGCTGTTTCTTCTGCATATCATTTTTTTATAGAAAAGGGGGCAAACGAGCATGCGGCTCACCTGATGTTAAGTGACTACCGCCGCCCATGATCAACCGCAACACCAGGGGAATTGCAGGTGCGTTGCCGGCCCTTTAGAAAGGAGTAAGCTCTTTTCTTGAAGGTCCCCAGGTCGTATCGGTCCGGAAAAATCGCCGGTGGTAAACTATTCCACAGAGTGTTTGTACACGGAAGAAAACTCCTTTTGAAACGTACAGTGGTGGACCGCCAAGCATCCAGATGGTGTGGATGGTACCGGGACATTTGCCGCGTAGTGCGTTCACGAAATTTGGCGGAATTTTTTCAATATGTTGCAAACCTTGGCGTTCGTTGCTATGCAGATGACAGCACTGGTGATGCTCTGTACACCGACCGTGCCTAAATTTCTCGGGAAAACGTCTCCGAGTACCGGAACAAACTTGTGTCTGAAGTCGACTCTTTGCTGAACAAAGTCTCGGATTGGAGGCGACTAAATCTCGTCCAGTTTAACACACAAGTTTGCGCGTTAACCGCTAAAAAGAACCCCTTTGTCGTATCTCCTTAGTTTCAAGGCAATCCCTTGTTGCCTCTGCCACTATCGGAATAAGAACTAAATTAAGAACACACGAGGTACCTATATAATCTTCATTGAATAAAAAAATATTATATTTTATTCTCTAGTTCATTCAAATGGGGTCTAGCCTAAGGCGTCGGGAAACGTTTTAAAAAATAAAATTTGTGTAACAAAGTCGGTATACCTTACAAATTGTTGCCACAAATTAAGGTCCCTAAGCAACCTGCATTCTACAACTCCCTTTCTACTAATTAGAGAATACTTCTTCCGTTATAGTTATAGCTGATGGTTCTACGAAATATTTGCAATGCAATAACCGATGTAAGCCGTAAAACCAATTAACACTCCAGAGAACGAATTTACATAAGAATATCGATTTGCGGGATCTGGGCCAGCTAGGAATTAGAATTAGGAGACCATATTATAAAACCTTTTGAAGATCTTAAGAGGTCTAGAGCCTAACTCTCTATAAAGAGAGTCTTAAATATTGAAGAAAGGTATTGAATCCTTACTTACTTTTTCTTACTCTTTCTTGGGTTATAACTTATAGCATATTCCATTAAATATTATTATCATAATTCATAAATGATTTCTGTATAATATATAGTTATACCAGGGCGACACTGAAAGTTTTTAGAACTGGCTACTTGTAAACGATATAGTAAAAAAATAAGTTCAAATTTTGTAAATGGACCTTTCTTCCTTCCTTTCTTTACCAATATTATTGTGATATATTTTTTTAATTTGTCATTTTTTACGATTTGGCAGCAAATTAAAAATTGTCTGTGTCACGTCAGCATAAATTTAACGCGAGAAAATTTTCCTACATTGAATTTTTATGACTTTCGATGTCAGTGTCACTCTCGTATTTAACTTAATTCCTTCTATTTTTAGTAAAAAATTAATAATATTAATATATAATAAAAATGTGTTGACATATATTACTTGTTTCATACATAGTCTAAGTGGATCTTGATTCAACTTAAAATCTTAAATTAATGGAATTGATTTAGATATTACTAAGATTAAGAAACAATATCATTTGTTAAGTTTGGCCATTATAACAGCCCCTATATTGCGCAAATTCTAGAAACTAAATCCCGATTGTCAACATCACACTGTCCCTGTCAAAAGTAAAAATTCTAACGCAAACACGATTGAATTAACTTTATTTTTGTTTATATGGATTAAAACGTAGAGTTAGATCCTACTCCGCCAAATAACATCATGGACATTCATGAGAGGTATTTATAAAAGTGAGCAGAAAAATAATGGAAGAGGATCGATCGATGTTTCTCTACACCAAAGGAGTTAATTATTCATAATAATAATACTTCAATGTTTCCTCATGTACTAGTATAAACAATAGTTATGTTTATAGGAACAGAAAAAAAGGTTCTTTCAGATAACTGCCTTCATAATGAAGATGATTATTATTAAAACATTTATTTAGGATCTCATTCAAGAATACCAGATTAAGATTTTATGCCAATTCACGTTGGCATCACTACACTATTTGTTCCAATTCGAATATAAAGTCTAGAAAACGTACGGCCAAACCAGGGTAATTACTTTTGTCTGGCCGTATTAAAACTGATTTAATACCCTGATGATATTTATAGTTTAAATAATTTAATTATAGTATTTGTTCAAATGGAAAGTGAATTAAGAGAAACCCGTTTTACACCTTGTTGAATAACAAACAACGCGATATTCGAACGAACGTGGAGCCCGACAAATAGCAGTATATCTTTTCTTAATGACCAACCCAAGTTCCAGGTAATGGTGAGAAGGTATGAGATAAAGATGATATGGCCTAATGCACACCTGCATTTATCGTATATTATAAGAATCAAAATAGAGGTTTGTTATCATCCCCGAGTACAAATACAAAATGCCTCGTGAAAAATCCGGTACTCACCATACGATACAACAAAATTATGCTCCAAGTTACGCTGATATTTTTTAGGTAGGTCTACGTTAGAGGAGCTAAGCACGAGCTGAGCCACTCTACTCGCGGTGTCAAGTGTGACGTACAAATCCCTTTGTGTTTGTCAAAATACCGACAGTATGCGGAACACACTCGAACGCGAAACAAACGCTCGAAGCGCACTCGTTCGAGATTGTAAGTCGGTCCAAACTACATGACTTTGTGCTCGGCTCACGCTCCGCTCGTGTTTGGCTCGTTAGCGTAGACCCACCTTTTGAGTGTGACACTTCTCCGACTAAACCGACCCATCAATGCTTCAGCCGCATAGTTAGTATTAGTCATATATTTTAAGTTATATATATATATATATATATATATATATATATATATATATATATATATATATATATATATGTTATCTTGTTATATATAATTTTTTACAATCTTATTCAGAGCGTTAAAAATATATTTAAGATATCTCCAACATTTTCGTGGCGTTCATCAATATGAATGATGTATATAGCAGAATTTTACGAGATCTTAGCATATACGGCATTTACTATGCAATAATTAAAAAAAATCAATGCATTTGGGAGATAGAATGGTGAACTTGAGTTGTACCAATGGATCTAATTAATGTATGAAAACGACAATCAGTTACAATGAAGGATAACAGATATGGGCAACAGTAACACAAACAGGTGTTTTTGGAGATGATTCGGGACCGTCCTGCAGATCGGGAAATCAAATTGATGCTATTAGGTTTAATAATAATTTCTTTATAAATTTTATAAATAATTTTAAATTAAGTAAGTAAATAACTCACCTTGATTTCACCCTGTCCCTCGGCGCAACACGCTTGTAGATCTTTCAATAATAACTGGTATTTAGTAATTCTTTGCACTGGTTTGATAAGGTATGCAGCTAAAGGATGCTCTAATTTTTTCTTGCGTTGTACCCTAGTACAAAGAAAGAAAAACAATAAAATAATAAATCACTTTTATTAAAAGTAAAATAACAAATCTGTGATAGAAACTAAAATATTATTGCTGTTTTTTTGAATCAACTCAAAACCTTGTATTATAAATACACGGCCTTTTTCCCAAAATCAAGGCAAATATAAATAAGTTTTAAGTTGCTCTCTCTCTCTCTCTCTCTCTCTCCACCCCCCTCTCACTCTCTCTCTTTCACTGGATGGTAATAGAAAGAGACAAGTATGAAGATAATTAATACTTAATTTAAGATAGTTGAAGTGATATCAATGATTATACTTCGTGCTTCGTCCTCCAGATTAGTAACTGGAACTAGTATCAAGTATATGATTCATCACTCGCACTATAGTTTAGAATTAAAAAATTTATAATCCCCTCCTTTCCCCTTCTTACTCCGGTCACAGGAGTGGGGAGAACCCTTCTCGCCGAGACCATCCATAGATACTGTTCTCTATATGCCATTGATATTTTGGTGCCAACCACTCCACTCAACACCGCCGCTCCTCTTTAATTTGTAAATTGAGATAATTTTTTTAATATAGTCTTTTGCTATCAGTGAAACAGTGATTTGCTGATAATGTGCAGTAAAGTAAGTGTTACTTAAATAAAAAATTAAGTTAAGGGTTTTCCAATAAGGACGTATAGATGTTGAAATGAAATAAAACGACCTATGTGTGTATGATATTAACTAAACTCTTTTTTTTATTTACAGGCCCACATGTGCTATTAAGTGTGGAATATGATATCGTTGGGGCCTTCATCCAAGCGTTTCGAAGCAATTGAATTGAAAAAAACTTTGAGCTTTTTTATCACATTATCCTGGGTGACAAACGAGCACACAGTCCACCTATGGACTGGTAAGTGGTTGCTGTGCCCCATAGACATCTACATCTATCGTCGATTACGAATCAAAATGCAGATGCGTTATCAGTCACCCGTGAGGACTACGATGGAATGCCTCGATTCCAGTAAAGGGTCTTTAGTAAAGGGTAAAATTCGCTAAAGTAAAGTCTGCGAAAGGCCGAGTTCTTGCGCACGGTGTGGAATCGACTACGAACCGCGACGATGTTCTCGACCGAGCTTGCGTTCGTAGAACGTACAGGTGTTGGCTGATTGTTTATCGAACCGGTCGTTTCAAATTTGGCCACCTAACGTTGAAGAGTCGACCGTAAAAGGTCCTTTCATAAAATAGGCGCAACGCGTGCAACGTTTGCATTAACGAACACTAATTTCGATAATAAAGCTTTATTATTTGAAAGTGCTGTTCAATCGTGTAACTTGCCGTAGTGATTTAGCATAAGTAACTAAATAATAAACAAAAGATTTGATAGATGTCACAAAAACAAAATCTACCCGCGCCAATTGAAAAACCCTTTACAAAATACAGACGGTAAAGATCGAATATCAAGCAAGCCTCCAAGTGATTTACCGCTGGACATGGATCAACTGGAATGTAGAAAATAAATAAGATAGATAATAAGAAGAGTCTTGTAGACGTGTCAAACCCTACTCCCGCCGGTCCTTCTGGTACCCAGTTATCCCGGAAATATCAAGATTTTAGAATCTATGCATGGTCCACGAGAGTGGGGTTTTCCCCACTCCTGTGACCGAAAGAAGAAGGGGAAAGGAGAGGAGTTTAAAATGTTTGATTCTCATCTATAGTGCGAGTGGTGAATACTAGACGTGGTACTACCAGTGTTAAATAAGGTCCAGTAACTAATCTGAAGCACCTGGTATAGTTATCATAAAACTTTACCTAAGGTAAGTTCGTTTAACCATTAATTATAAGGCCGACAATATATGTACATAATGATATGCAAATAATATAATATTTAAAACCATGTACCTGCAAGGTTGGTCAAGTTTACTTTCTACAATAGTGAATTATGAAAAAATGTTATAAAAATGGATAGGAACAAACGTAATGTATTTCAAAGTTAAGTCACTTGGTAATTTCGGTTAATAATTTTTTACAGTTTTCTATTAGCGTTAACGATTGCAGAAAATGAACCCGGCTAACTCCGCAGAACTGCTTGTACTTACATAACAAAACATAAAGCTTTTCTCCAAATTAATAAAACATATTATATACAAAAAAAACATTAGGTGTTAAATCAGTATGCACACAGTTCTGTTAATTAAAAGAAGAAGATTAATAAAAAGAAGTTTGAGTTCCTGAATCTAAAGATAAACAACCAGTCCTCTAAACGTGATGATTATATTATGGGAATGGAAAATATTACAATAACATACAATTAAGGAACAATTTCATAAAAGAAGTGTGATTCCCCTAACGTTTAACAACATAATATTGAAATCAGTCCATTTTTATTGAACACAGAGATAACTCAAACGAAATTTGTAACCCACAGATTTCCTAGGAATATAAAAAACAATAAAAGTGGCATCTACATGTGGACGGATATAACAAGAGTGGCTCTTTACAGACTGTGCAGAACTGCATAATAAAATATATAAACCACCCAATTTTTATTAAAAGCAATTAATATCCACTACTCCACCCGATAGTAAGAGAAGACAGAGGGAATGACACCAGGATATGGACAACAGCGTCATCTTTATAACACTTAGAAAATATAAAACGGCTGTTACCAATTTGCCTGTTAAGTTTTGTATCAAAAGATAATTAAGTATCATAGTAAACGTGATAATTCGACCAAATTTAAAAGAACCTCTCTTTTAAATTAGGCCCGTACAATTTTAAATTAGATAGCCTCTAACGATAAATGAGACATTAGATTTCGGACACTAGGTAAAGCTAGTATGGGAACGTAACGACAAAACATATCAAGAGTTCGCAAGCCGCTTGATATTTCTTTAGCGGAGAAAGTGGTGAGAGAGACAAAAAGTTTTTTTACTAATTCAGCCAAAATGAGAATCTGTGAGCTTATTATACTGTGTCATATACATTTCAGACAGCAAAAATTTAATAAATAACACGTACCGATCAAAGTAATCACCAGCGTGCTGTACAACGGCGGCGTTGCTGTCGGGCTTGTTGCGGCAGTACGAGACGTACATGTCGAACTCGCGCGCCCAAGTTACGAAACAATGGCCCACGTCTTCCGGCATCATCTCGTACTTGTCCAACTCGCGTAGGAAAACACGCTCATGGAACCGGTGGATCTCCTCGATGTTGCCGAATATCAACTCCTCCTATAATAAACAAGGTTCATGAATAACAGATTGCTACTAGTAAGTAGACGGTCTCCCACTAGATGGAGTGACCAGCTGGTAAGAGATGCAGGAAATCGACGGTAGTAAATGGCTCATGGTTCTAATGTAGCGGCGCTGTCGTCGCGCCGCAAGCGAAACACACCGAAGCCTAAATCACGCTATCAACATTCCGAATCATAAACAGCATATATAGAACATCTCCGAACTATCACACGGAGTGTTGGCCGCTCCCCGGGCAGAACACCTTGCCCGGCGGGAGATCTCCCTTTTTCCTTCCACGGCCACACTAATATATGGCCTTTCTTGGGGAGACCGGAATATATATATATATATATATATATATATATATATATATATATATATATAAGCTCCATATATCCTGTTATGCTGCTGTATGTTTGCGGCTTGATGAAGATAATGTAGTATATATTTAGATACTTTTTCTGACCTAAACAATAGATTTCATAACAATGCTTTTTGAAATTAACTTAAGCTACATAGCGCACGTATTGATAACAATTTTGTTTTAACTGCATTGCATAAAATCATCCTAACATATAAAGCATAATATAAAAACAAAAACGGTTACATAAATATTTAATTTACTATATTATAAAAATTAAGAATACGAACTTTTCCTTGTAACGCTGGCGGAACAGATGCTGGGTCGGTGCGCATCTCGCGCAAGTAGCAAGTGATGCAGGTCTCCAAATCTTTTACATACGCGCGTTCAGTCTGAAGAAGCTCCGCCATAATGAATCTATACAATAAAAAGTCACCCATTAATATCGAATATTGCGGCACTGTTAATATTTTACAACAAAAGGTTAATTTTTCAACTGTCTGATAAATACATACTCGTAATAAATTATTATAACCTGGGTGGATATAAAAGCGAAACAATAGAACCATTATATTGGCACAAATGTAATTTTTAATGTATTTAATAACTTTAGCTGTGGTATCACAAGCGCTCGCTGTAATTTTCAAAGTACGCGGAAAAACCGATTTCGATCCCCGTCTGAAATAATAAAATTGTTAATTGCAATTTTAAGTGCTGTGCAGGTGCCCGGTGGTGAAGGAAAACGTCGTAAGGAAACCGGCATATCTGAGAAATAACAAAAAAAATTTCGAAGACATGTGAAGTTCGCCAACATGTAAGACATACATTGAGACGGACTTTACCTTGCCTTAAAACCCTCTCAGAAATGAGAGGCCAGTGCCCAGCAGTGGGACGTATGTAGGCTGTTACTTTACCTTTTTTTTAATAATTGTGTGATACAGACAATACAATTTCACATATGTTTCCTTAAAAAATTGCCACAAATATAAATATTTTACGTTATTGGAATGATATTTATTTTGAACACTGTTCACATTCCATTTCTCAAAAGGCGAAATAACTTTTTCCTGTAATTCCAGTGACTTACAGCCCTGGATATGAAGACACAGAGTTTCACGCCAGGATATGTCATGGTATAACGTGGTGACGTAAGGCAATCCTATGGGTATGCCATACCTAAGGGTCTAAGCTCGGTGTTTTTAGACATAGCGCGATTTATAAATGCGCATTTAAGGTGGCGTAGAAAGTCAGAAACTAGATGATGCTACTGCTGCAGTTACATGTTTAAAAAAGTATCATATTTCTAAAACACAGTTTTACACTAGTTTGAGAGTTTATGAATTCCATTAAACATTTATTTTCTAATCACAAATCTAATTTTTGCCTTTAATGATTATTACTACGAGTTAATTTAAATATACACAATACTTGTTACTTTGTATTTATTACTTCTCTCTATATACATATTTATCTATACAATATGAAACGTTAACGTTTATATTATAATCATAATACATACACTGAATTTTTAGTTAAACATTTTTATGCACTGATTATTTATCAAATTAGTTATACTAATTCCGGAAGAATGTTGTGGTCACAGTACAAATCCACGAACGCAAAGACTTTAACGTAATTGAAATAAAGTTCATTTTTCTTTATTTTTATTGAATGACAGAATTAGTAATAATATAAATAAAACTGCACTTTTAAAAGTCCTATTGCCTTAAGTTACGGTCTATTTCAGTTTGTTTTGACTGTACAGATTTAGTGTGACTGTAATTTACGTAGGTAGTTTTAATTATTTTTGGGATAAAAAATTACCTATATTAAAAATGATAGGAATCTATTCAGTAAACGATTCTAAACAAACTACTTTCTCAAAGTGTGTTAATTATGTTACATGTTGTATATGACTGAAATATCACTGACTGAACAATCACGATATCTCTAAAACTATATACACCCGATTGACTTGAAATTCAGTATAGTTACTTATTTTGGAATATAGACGCTCAAAAAGAACGGATTTTACGAGTTCCATAAAAAAATTGTTGACCATAGCACTTCACTTCATTAAGTTGTCGGAAGATAGATGGCGCCAGAGGACACTTACTCCTTGCGGCGCGCGCTGCGGCGCTTCTCGTCGCCGGCAGCGGGCGGCTGCGGCTCGGCGCGCCCGTCGTCCACCTGTGCGGCGCCGAGCGATGCGCTCGCGCTTGACTCGCTCTCCGCCTCGCTCTCGCCGCCTTCCATCGACCCGCTGAACTCCGCGTATCTGTACCATGTACCGCAATATTATAATATTGTTAAATAAAACAAATTTATACGATTTTATCGCGTTGCATTTAGAAGCTGAACGCTGGTAGCCCTAACTAACTATGACATCCAGACATCTCCGTCACTCCCGTGACCATGGCTGCCTGCTGTAAAGTACCCGGAACAACGGTAATTAAAAAAGATAAAGTAAAATATAAAATCAAATATAAAACCCATAAATATTTTTTTCAATGTAAAGTATTCGTGTAAAATATAAGAAACTATTATAATAATATCGTCTAAAGGCTTAAAGACATTTACACTCTCAAAAAAAACTAAGACGCCATCATCTCCCTTTCCGTCCGATTACAAAGTTGGAGAGTGTGTGGAGAGGAATTGTATGACTTAATTCTTCCCTCTCCGTTCCATCATCGAACAACCAGATGTTCGGCTCATCTCCACACCTTTGTTGTCGACAATTAGAACAAAACAGTTTTGCACCGCCGTTCATAATGCGCACAGCAAAGGTGTGGGATAATTTGACAGCATGTGTCTTCCCAACTGAATAAAATATGCGTCTGGGTAAAGGCAAGATAAACAGGCTTTACCATCTTCGACTGCATCACCACTTACCATCAGGTGAGATTGATTGTATACTTACATGCAGTTCGGTTATATGAGAAAATTAAAATTACGATATGTAAATAGTAGTTAGTACCGACACTTAAGACTAGTGTTTGATATAAAAATGATATAGTTTGTATGGAGTATAAATTTACATCTATAATTAAAAATACAATATGAAGTTACTTCTTAGAAGTGTATTTGTCATTTACTTTTATGAAATCTAAGGCCCATACTCAGAGACTATCTTGAGTTTGAACTCGAAACTACACGTCAACATTTGAGTTCAGTCCATATCATAATCCACAAATTTACGACGTTTTCACTCGACTTAAAATATCTTGAAATGTAATTTTTGGTTAAATTTTTATTTAACTTTACCATTACATGTTTTAAAATTTTATGAACTTTAAATTTTATTAATGTAACGATTGACTTACTTAGGCTAGACTAGACTGCGTTGTCATGCTAGTGGTCGCAAGCACGACTGTTGAGCAAGAGGACTTGGGTTCGATTGGATTGAAATTCCCAGTCTGTATTTGTGTCCGGTTTATGGCAAATGGTCACTCCCTATCAGACGTGACGTATAATAACATAACTGGTGACAAGTGGGAGTAGTACACAGCTCTGCCTACTCTATCGGTTTTTTGTAATTACTTTTATTTACTGTAAATTATCATCTGTGTTCATATAAGCCATGTTTGAAGAAGTCGCGATTAATCAAAAATCGATATTTAAATGCTCGATTTAATTGAGAATCGATTCTAATATGTTCCATTTGAATCGAATGGGAGAAAGTTTTTTTAAGTGAATCGATATGCCTATTATTGACCCTGTGCTATATGTGAAAGAAGCGATTAAACAAAAAAAAAATAGAAAAATTATTCCGATATAACTCATATTTTTATTCAATATAGATTAAGAATAATGTTTTTGTACCACTGGTTCACAAAAACAGTCCTTTGAAGAATCAACACGAAACCCAACTATTTTTATAGTAAATATCTTAAAATACAGGTTGTACAAGTAATCACAAAACTCATAAATACAGCTCGGAAGCGATCAACTCGTTCCCAGCGGGTTGTAATCAACCATTTAAATTTAATTTTTAAATTCAAATAAATATTTTAAATAATTTTATTGGGTAACAAAGACGTAAATTGGTACAGTGTTATTGTTGAGACCTTCTTTTAAGTATTTAAAATATTTGTGCCAGAAGGCCACATTCTTCCATAGCCTTTTCCTTATTTCTAAGAAGTAACGTCATATAGTTTTTTTAAGCGAATCGATATGCCTATTATTGACCCTGTGTATATGTGAAAGAAGCGATTAAACAAAAAAAAAATAGAAAAATTATTCCGATATAACTCATATTTTTATTCAATATAGATTAAGAATAATGTTTTTGTACCACTGGTTCACAAAAACAGTCCTTTGAAGAATCAACACGAAACCCAACTATTTTTATAGTAAATATCTTAAAATACAGGTTGTACAAGTAATCAAAAAACTCATAAATACAGCTCGGAAGCGATCAACTCGTTCCCCGCGGGTTATAATCAACCATTTAAATTTAATTTTTAAATTCAAATAAATATTTTAAATAATTTTATTGGGTAACAAAGACGTAAATTGGTACAGTGTTATAGTTGAGACCTCCTTTTAAATATTTAAAATATTTGTGCCAAAAGGCCACATTCTTCCATAGCCTTTTCCTTATTTCATGTATTTATTAACAATATAATAACCCCGGCATCGCATTCGCACGGTAGGTTTCTGGATCTCAACAACACCGAAACCTACCAGGTCCAATTGTGACACATATTATACCAAAATATTTCATCACAAAAAGCAAGTAGATAAAAAAGTAGTGTTTGTTCCAGTAAATGCACATCGCTTGGAGAAGTTTAGAAGTAACATAGTAAAAAAAACTTCCATTACTTTCATACCAAAATAATCCAAATTTTTTGTATGCAACATTATTTAAGCTCATTTGCAATGAATTTAATAATACATTTACTTCTAAAACATTCCCCTTGAACAATCGTAAAGCATTTAATGAGTGGGCGACAGTAGGAGTCCATAAGAGTAGACAAAGGTTATATGAACTTTACAATGAAAGGTTATATAATCCTAGCGTCGAATTTAGTGAATATGTAAAAAAATATTCCAAAATATTTAAAAGAGTGTTCTCCTTAGCAAAGTCATTGTATTTAAGCAACAAAATAAAGACTGCTTCTAATAAAATTAAAATGACATGGAGTATAATTAATAGTGAAACTGGTAAGGTCAACTCTCGCAATTCAAACTACCAGTTAAGTTTTAACAATAAATTAAGTAAATCAGATCAGGACGTTGCAATGGTTTTTGAGAAATATTTTACTGATATTCCGATCTTAACCACTAAGTCACTGAATTCTTCTCCTACCGTCGCCGAATCATTACTTAAACAAAATGTAAATGTGTGTACAAAGAATTTTACATTTCATAAAGTTTCATCAAAATATATTGTAAAATATTTTAAGACTATTGATATTAAGAGAACCGCCGATCTGTGGGGGATTTCTGTTAAAGTTATATCGTCTATAATAGATACAATCGCACTCCAACTTGCTATTATATTTAATACTAGTATCAAATCCGGTGTGTTTACTGATTTAATGAAGCATAGTAAAGTTATACCTTTATTTAAATCTGGTAGTACATTGGACCCCGCTAATTTTAGACCTATTTCTGTACTGCCAACACTTAGTAAAATTTTTTGAAAAAATTATTCTTGATCAATTGTTAATTTTTTTTAATGTAAATAAATTACTTCATAAAAATCAATTTGGTTTCACAAGGGGTCGCTCGACAACTGATGCTGGTGTTGAGCTGATTAAATATATATTTAATGCATGGGAGAATTCACAGGATGCTTTGGGTGTGTTCTGTGACCTATCCAAAGCCTTCGATTGTGTTCACCATGAAACATTAATCAGGAAACTTCAACACTACGGTGTAAGAAATGATGCTCTTAAATTAATTATTTCATATTTAAGTGACAGAACACAAAAAGTTGTTATTAATAGTATGAGTTCTTCCGGGTCGATTGTACAAATGGGTGTGCCTAAGGGCTCAATTCTGGGCCCCTTTCTGTTTCTTGTGTATATTAATGACTTACCTTACATAGTAGGGGATAACCATGATATAGTATTATTTGCTGATGATACTTCATTAATTTTTAAATTAAAACGACAGTTATTAAATTACGACGAAGTAAATAATGCTATAGCTAAGTTAGTCAATTGATTTAATGTTAATAATTTGCATTTGAATGGAACTAAAACTAAATGTATGAAATTCGTAACTCCTAATGTTAAACATGTAAATACTAATGTAATTTTAAATGGGGAGGAACTGAGTCTTGTTGATACCACCATTTTTCTTGGAATCACACTGGACGCAAAGCTTCAATGGCTCCCCCATATATCAAAACTAGCTAGCAGACTTAGTTCTGCAGCATATGCTGTAAAAAACTCTTACCAGTGTTGAAACAGCTAGAATAGTTTACTTTAGTTATTTCAATAGCATTATGTCGTACGGTATTTTGCTATGGGGACACGCGACTGACACTGAAATTATATTTATTTTACAGAAGAGGGCCATTAGAGCAATATATAATTTAAATCCAAAAGAGTCACTGAGACAAAAATTTAAGGAAATTAATATATTAACTCTGGCCTCTCAATACATTTATGAAAATGTAATGAACGTACACAAAAATAAAAGTAGTTTTGCGAAAATAAGTGATATTCATTCTGTAAATACTAGGAGCAGACACAAGCTGGTAGTACCAGTTACTCGACTCCACCGAGTCAGTAATTCATTCTTGGGGCGATGTATACGCTTTTACAACAAAATCCTAGAAAATATACAAAATTTGTCATACACAAAGTTCAAAAATGTTATTAAACTAAGTTTGTATAAAAAGGGTTATTATAATATTAAGAAATTTATAGATGATAATAACCCCTGGGAAGGGTGATCGCTACCAAGCTATTTCTAATTTGTCTTGTGTTGTTGATTGTAAACATGATTGTAAGCTATTATTAAAAAAAATGGTCCCGCTGGGTTTCTTGCTGGTTCTTCCCAGGACAGAGGTTTTTTTTTTGCGAACCAGTGGTAAATTAAAAAAGTGACTTTCAATAAGTATTTTTATAATCTACATTGAATAAAAAAGTTTCTATTTCTATTTCACAATCGGTTAAGCCGTTTAGGAGGGGTTTAGTGACAAGCACACAGAAGATATATACAGAATGGGTCCCACATATATGCAATAAATGAAACCATATACTTGTTATCGCCTTTGCTGACGATATACAAAAAATGAACGTAATCGGTCCAGTAATTAGGTCAAAAAGTAGAGTTTTAATTTTAAGCAAATTTTAACACTCTATAGAATTGGGTCACTAAGTCAATGATTCAATGAACTTGAATCCTTGAACATTAAAAAGCGACGTTGCCACGCAGTGCAAACTATTGGCATTGCGACATATCGACAGCGGTGTCTTTTGTCGGCGTGCCACCCGCGTGCAACGTTGTCACTCTTCCAAGGGGTCAAGGTATGTTGTCTAAACAGAGTGTTCACTTTTACTGAATTTATTTTAATATTTATTTTGTTTGAAAATTTCACTTTTTTATTTTAGGTTTTAATTTAATATTTAATTTTTCTATACTTCTACGGACTAGCATTACTTGTGGTTTCATTTATTGCATATATGTGGGATCCATTCTGTATATATAAAGATTAACAAAAAACACACACACGCGTGCGTATGTGTACGCGTGGTGGTGTGCGTGAGCGTGCATGTTATGCGCATACAATACCTAGCGTCGACTGCGGCCACCCACTCCTTGATCTGCACGGCGTGCGGGTGGCCCTTCTCGACGAGTCCGTCGGCGAGCTGCGCGAGCAGCCGCACGCGCTCGCGGCTCTCGCGCGCCACGCCCGCCGCCGCGGCTGCCGCCGCCGCGCCGCATCGCTCCTGCGTCTCGCGGATCCATTCGACGGCGGCGCGCGCCGACCGCTCGAATAATGCGAACTGCTGGCACTGCTCCAGCCGCTTCTTGCGTACCGTCCAATGCTCCAATACCTTCATAACCAAGTATTGAGTGTTGTTGTACTCACTGACTATAGTCCTATTACCGTCACAGCCTCCTAAATTCCACTACTGAACATAGGCCTACCCCATACACTGCCTCATAAGGGGAATATTAGCCACAGTTGCCGCGCAAGCAGGTTGTTTTGGTTTTTTTATTTTTAGTCACTCTCAGGAAGACGCTAAATGCACATACCCTGATTTGTTTTCCTCTATCCTTTTTTAGGAATATAATGTCCTCCAGACCGAATTTCGGCCACGGCGGCCTGCCTCAACGGAGACATCGGCGCAGGACAGGATTATAGTGCCCAAGTATATGCGCAAGCACAGGTGCACTCTCTATTCCTTCAGTCTCATAATCCGATGGGACGGTAAACTGACACGACCAACGGTTTTACGCAGGATCAACGGTTTTACGTGCTTTCCGAGGCACGGGGGTGAGACACCGCCAACTTCCTTACTCCGGGCAACTACTGAGAATTTCTTGACGGAAAAACTCAATAATTATTCTTTGGCCCGACCCGGGATTCGAATGATCATGATCAGCAGTCGCACTACTACAACCACTAGACCAACGTGGCAATCGGGTTTAGGAATATAATATGTTTATTGTTCAATTAAAATATATAATTTCATTTCATTCTTACGTTGTGGATTTCTATCCGTTGCCGAGTTGTGGCGGTGGAAGAGAATCCTCACTCTCAGTCTCATGGGTGTCGTAAGAACCAACAACCGGTAAAGCAATATCGATCTTTGGTTCCAATAATTGGTGGTGTACCCCTTCCTAGGATAACCAAACAGGCGACAGGCAGCGACGTCCAAAGTGCGAAAAATCTAGAACTGCGATCGAATTAAACGGAAGAAGCCCATATCCTGCGGCAGATTTCTACAGGTTGATGAGGAGAAAGATTTAAATTTGAAAAAACTGTGAGCTAACTAAATGATATTAAAGCAAGTGTGTAACAGAAAAAAAATCCAATAATATACTTCATACAAGATTAACAAGCAATATTTACAAATACTAACAATAACTTTTCTTACATGTGTTCGGAATTTATTAAATGTTTTTAAATTAAACACATTGGGCATTTATTCCTCAAGCATAAAATAGTTTTCGTAACCTCAAAATTCGTTTATAAATTTATAATATATTATAATACATATATTACAGAATGAAATTTAAAATTGGTGATAATAGTAGTAATAATATAATTGAATTTATTAAATTAATCAATGTATATATATTTTATTGAACACTAATACACATTAAAATGAGACAAATGAAAACAAATGAAATAAACCTTTGTTGAGTTGTGAATGTTGAATATAAATTTGACAAATTTTAATATATAATATATTTAGTTAAATTTCAACCTCTAGACACAAGGGTATTGCCTTATTTTATAAGGAAAACGGAGATACCGTATAGTGAAGATGATAACTGCTTTAGTCCATAAAATTTTACTAAAAAAACAACAACACAAACAAATATTCACTTATGCTTTTCAGAAATGTATAAGAACACAACTATAAATTGTGACACAAATCATAATTTATTTACATTAACTCCACTAAATTACTAAAATTTCACATTTTTATTATTGCGATATATTCGTTATAAATACTGTACGGTTTATTTGTTTTGTTTAAATATAATTATAATATGGGTTTGTCCAAACAAAAACAGATTTTATTAAACCATACGCATGGTACGCAACACAATTTTTCTTTTAATTTTAGAAATACATACGGGTTGAATCAACACCATGACAAAACTCCTGAGCATCCTCTCGTCAAACACAAAGCTAATTCCAACATATTGCATGGTCACTGCGCATGGAAAACCATAGAAGCGCTCGAGGTCGCTGCACACGCGATATAATCGCAACACAAAGGCGACATTGTCTCTAATTCCATTCATACTCCGACATTCACAATGACAACTAATGGCATATTTTCTAAATATATCAAAACGGAAGCAAACAAACAAACGTATCAATAAATATTGACGTTAATCGATTATATTTCGCGCATTTTTATTAATAAAACGTTATTAAGTTGAAAATTACTTTATTAATTACTTAAACGTGAAAAGCTGCGCCGTTTACAACCACGTAAACCTATCCAGCCTCTACGTCGCGAGACCTGACTTCTAATCCCGACCGAGGCCCAAAATTAGAGTAATACAAATTATTGCTTTTATCGTGTTTTAATACTGAATCGTGATTGAATGCCTTTTTAAAGAACTTTATGATACCGATTTCTTCTAACAAATGATTACAAACAAAGAATGCTTATTTAATTTAAGCGTAACCTATCTCAACATATTTTTGTAACGCATTTCGTACAAAGTCGTTTGAAAATTATTTAAGCACGTCGTCAGCTCGGGAGATTTGTTGGCATTTAATTCATTAGTCATACTACCATGGTCCTAGGCCAACATGTTCCTAGATGCTTTTATAATTTGTTTAATAAAAATCATGTATATCATCATTACTAAAGCCCTTCACAAGTCCACTGCTGAACATAGGCGTCCCCCAAGGATTGCCACAAAGCACGGTCCTGAGCCACCTGCATCCATTGACTTCCTGCATGTCTTACCAGGTCGTCACTCCATCTAGTGGAGGGTCGCCCTACACTTCGCCTACCAGTACGAGGCTGCCACTCGAGAACCTTTTTTCCCCAACGGTTGTCAATTCTTCGAGCTATATGGCCGGCCCATTGCCACTTCAGCTTACTAATTCTTTGGTTAGCCCAAACTAAAAATATATATATAATATAATAAAAATATATAATATAATAAACTAATCCTTTGGGCTAAGTCGGTCATGTATATATTATTATCAATATTATCATAGCGATAACACAACCATTTGCAACAATGACACGTAAACATGTTGCATCTCTTTGCGTATTTTATCGCAAGTACCACGGGGAGTGCTCTGAGAAATTGTTTATACTAATTCCAGCAGTACAATTTCATCATCGCACATCACGATACATTCCATACCATCTGGGTGACTGGCGGTCCACCACTGTGCGATTTAAAACAAACCGACTACCACACCAGAGATTTTTCCGAACTAATACGACTTAAGGCCCTTAAAGAAAATAGCCTAATCCTTTTTAAAAGGCCGGCAACGCATCTGCACTTCCCCTGGTGCTGCAGTTGTTGATGGGCGGCGGTTATCACATACCATCAGGTGCGCCATATGTTCGCTTGCACCCTCTTCTATAAAAGAAAAACTACGTTTGTCAAAAATATGGGTGTAGATGGAAAATTGTAATAGAAGTGATAGGATGCTAGACTATCGCCTAAACAATACCAAACCAAATACCCCATTAGTCACTTTTAAGACATATTTGACTTCTAAAAAAATAAACGAAATTACTTTTGAAATCTTTGCAAATTAAATACTCATGATATTGATAATAAAAACTATTGCACTAACTAGGCGGTAGGACATCATTACTGCCGACAAGTCCGTCTGTTTAGATACCACAATCTTACTTATATTTGCCACCACATAGCAGATCTGCACTGCCATGTTCCATTCCGAATGGAATAGAGAGCAAGAAAATTACATTAGTATAATATAGAGCCCTGAAGTGAAAACGCATCTGCAGCCTTTTTTACGTACCACGCTGCAGCTGCATATTATTATTGTAGCAAGAATGGGTCGGCTCAACCGGTGCAGGACCACGCTCTCACGGGATACCAGCGTAAAATAGCAGCTTAATACTGCTGTATTTCGTATGGTGAGTGTAGAAATCCGGAGATCCTTTTTTACTGGAAACGAGGCATTCCATCTTAGTCCTCAGGGGTGACAACGCATCTGCATTTTGATTCGTAATCGAGGATAAATGTGAAATGATGATGTCTGTGAGCCACAGCATCCACTTACCATCAGGCGGACTGTGTGCTCGTTTGTCACCCTTATTCTATAAAAAAAGCCTTTTATATTTAAAATTGGCTACATGTGTCCATGAACTGTAGTAGCCATTTGACGATCAGATCAGAATATAAGTTCGTTTGCCAGTTCAGGTTTACAAAAAAAATTAAAATTCACGAGCGTCAGAACCTTTGATCCATGTGTGTGCGTCAGTGTGTGTTAATGTTTGGGTCTTACCAAATTTTAATTTTTGTTATCAATTGTTAAGTATTTAGTACCTTGTTAAATAGACCGAAAAATTACAAAGAAAGTGGTCAGTCATCCTACTAGACTGGACTGGACATACTGACATGTCTGGACCAAATATATTTCACCTAGTTGTAGACATTCGTAGTTTATCTGTGTTATACATATTAATTTGCAATACACCTATAAAACGTTACACCTAAAAACATTTTCTTAGGCGTAACATTTCACTTTGTATCCTTTTACGAAAATTTCTTTACAGCCAGACTTCGTGCCACTTTCTTACTCGATATGAATCGACCACAACGATCGCTTATTTATGTTTTTCATAGGTCAGAAAGGGTGCCTTTTTTAAACCCGATATGAAGACGAGTGCAAGCAAAATATTTTATTCACTAATCCTCGCGATATTGACCGAAAGATAAGGCGCGAAATTTTAAATATTCTCTCGTGGCTCGCGTGTAACAATATAATGTGCATTGAAATAAAATGTCATTTCTTTGATTCTCAAAGTACAAAAAAAAAAACAAATGATCATTTTACGCTACTAAAATGAGCTTGTTTCAAAATAAGGTCCTACAGTCATAGTAGTCAATTTTTTTGTTGACATCTAGCTTATATGATGATGCTGTCCGTCGCCGGTCCGGTATTTTACGTCTGGCGTAAAAGAAATGGTTAATCTGTCATTTATAGGAAGCTATAATATCCTGTTATGTCACCATCATACAATTAAGCTTATAATTGCAAAAATTCAAGTCAATCAGCTCCTGAGCCCTGGACTCACCTTGTTCTCTTGCGCTAGTAGGGTGTCCAGTATAGCGCGGGTTTGTTCGTGGTGCGCTTTACTAGCGGCAGCGGTCTGTCCGTGAACTTGCGCGGAACGTGCTGCGTACTTCAGGAACGTCTCCGCAGTTCGACGCGCCAATGTGCACGCCTTCAAAAACGCCTCTTTCTGCTCACCGTGCTTCACTATCAATGCCGCCACCTAGAAGCACACAGATTTAAGAATATGTAGACAACAGATGATAAACGAAACTATACAAACTGCTGGAGGAACAACTGAAATTCAAAAGTAGATAGAGTTGGGTAAAACTATTTCCCTACTTAGCAGTTTGTTTGGGTTGGAGCTACCTTTTTGCTTATTCCTTTCGCCAAACAGAAGTGCTCAGAAGTATTTTGGTTTGAATGCTACCAGATCTTATTTTACCTTTTCACATGAACAATCCGCTAAAGAACTCAGGGGTGACAACACATTACATGCACATTACATTTTGATACTTCGTCTATGATAGATGTAAGAGTCTTGGGCTACATGATCCACTTATCATCTGGTGAACTGTGTGCTCGTATGCGAACCTTACTTAAATAAAAAAATATATCATTACTTATTTACGTAATAACATAAAAACTTATTTATCATACTTTCGGTTTTATACACAATTTTGATAAAAAATATTTTTAATGATGTCAATAAAAATTAAAAATAAAGTTCACAATATGTACGTAGGCGGTCCCATAATGAATTGGCCTAACTATGAACCAATGAAGGAAATGAAACGAAACCAATTTTATTTTTCAATATAATCACCATGAATACTAACACACTTCTGACATCTGTGAATCAACATCTCTAAACCTTTATAAAAATAATCACATTTTTTATCCTCAAAATAACTGAAGACGGCCGCCTGCAACTCTTCATCGCTTGAAAATTTTCTTCCTCTTAAGTCCCGCTTTAAATTTGGAAATAAATAATAGTCGGACGGGGCCATGTCTGGACTGTAAGGTGGATGTTGAACTTCTGTGAACCCGCATTGACGAACTGCATCCTTCGAAACACCAGCGGTATGAACAGGGGCGTTGTCATGGAGCAACAGGACACCTTTAGACAGCTTGCCTCTTCGTTTTTCCTTTATCTTGTCTCGTAATTTATATATTAAAGAAGCATAATATTCGCCGTTCACGACTGTATTACGTTCTTTAAAATCCACCATCAAAATGCCTTTAAAATCCCAAAATATTGTGCACATCAGTTTTTTAGTCGATTGTTGCACCTTTGCCTTTCTAGGGGGCTTTTCACCCTTGTAACGCCATTCCATTGACTCGCGCTTGCTTTGTGGATCATAATACAAGATCATAGTTTCATCACCAGTCACTAGCCGCTCGATCACAGTCTTTGGATTTTCGCCACAAAGATCCAAAAACTCCGAAGCGCAGCGCACTCTTTCCTGTCTCTGTACCGCTGAAAGAAGTTTCGGTACCCATCTTGCACTCACTTTTTTCATGTGAAGATGTTCATGGATCGCGCGATGAACGGTACTCTTAGAGAGCCCAAGCCTTGCTGCAATTTCTCTAATCTTCAAACGGCGGTCACTCAGAACCTCCTCTTCGATAAGAGCAATCGTTTCGGGAGTGAGCACTTCCACAGGTCAACCGTCGTGGCCAAAGTCTTCGACGGTTTCTCTCCCGAGGCGAAACTTTTTCACTTAATTTTTCACTGTGCTATAGGAGGGGGCAGACACCTTATATACGCCATCCAATCGTTCTTTTATTTGGGCAGGGGATAAACCTTCTTTAAACAGAAACTTTATGACACTTCGATACTCAGTTTTCGATATTTTAAAAAAATACGCTACTCTCGTTATTCAAATGCCTCTTAAACTAAGACTAAGCATTTCATGTCGATGCATGTTTCTTATATTAAGTGTACGATAAACGTACTATTTAATGCAACACAACATGTAGCGACATGTCGCGTTGAACTATATCAGGCCAGTTCATTATGGGACCGCCTGGTATCTACAAAATGAATACCCAATAGATGATCACGTTTAAAAATCTGTTGTAACCTTACTATAAAACTTTAACTTTTGTATTACATTCTCAGACGTACTGGACAAATTAAATCATTCTTTTATTTTGATCATAAATTACCTTTTTATAAAATCGAATAAATCTTTGCTGTAGTATATCGAATGTACCAAGGTCTTTGGACTTCAAAGTATTTATTGAGGTCTATGATTCCGCAATGGATTTGGCTGCATTGATCACTATAATGATGACCATACATAATTTATGTTTTAATGTTTTGTTTGAATTCCTACCTGAGCAGCTTTGTCAAGGTTGTGCGCTAGTTGTTCGTCGGCAGGTGGCGCGGTGGTCGAGCCGCACCAGTCTTCATCACGTCGGTATTCACGCTCCAGGGAATCTAAGACGGAGCAAACTTGCTCCGCCGTCTTGTAAAAGTTGAGCGATGCAGTGACTAGTTTATGTCGTTCCTCCGCGCACGTTACGAGCCGCTGCCAACGCTCCGTCACCTCTTCTGATATTTCTCTACAAAAATATTATTCAACATATTTATAAATAATAAGAAAATATTGGAATCCAGTAAATTTAATACTGGGAGAAAATTGTGAGGGCGTAACATGGTTTAACTTATAATGTAAAAAAGAGCCATGTCATGCTCTTTGAGACCGGGAGTAAGCGATCTATTTCGATTAATGGTAATATTTTACATAGAGCGTTTAGGTATAAATATCTTGGCCATGTTCTGACTCCTCGTCTCAGGGATGATGGATGACATTGAGAGGCAACGGAGGGCGTTGTCAGTAAGAGCGAACATGATAGCTTGCATGTTTACACGCTGTTCAAGGAAGTTAAAATAGCCCTATTTAGAGCTCTCTGCACGTCATTTTACACGTGCAGCCCGTGGGCTAGATATACTCAAAAGGCTTACAACGCCCTCCGAGTACAATACAACAACGCATTTAGGGTGCTGCTGGGACTGGCTCGCTTATGTTGTACATCGGGGATGTTCGCAAAATATGAGCCTTGGTTGCTTAAATAAATGAAATGCAAATAGTCTACTTTTGTAAAGGGAAAGTAACATCCCACATACGTCCCAGTCATGGACACTGGCTTTCTCTTATTTTCGAGAGGGCGAAGCATATTCCGCTCTGCTTACATTTTTTTGGAGACTTTACCATGTTCTTAAGAGTACTTTTTAATTCCAGGGGGCACCAGACTAGGATTGCTCTTATATTATGGTCAAATACCCGACCCCTGAGATATCACGGCTTATATTTTCACGACAGCGAAACATAAAATCAAAAATTGACTAAGTCAGTTATTTTAATTTAATTAAGGTAATTTATTACAACGTAACGACCAAAAATACCACCTACACCAAGCCATCGGCATCATCAGTGTTCAACATCAGGCCAGTTCAAAGTTTAATTTAGTTGTATTCGCAACGCTCGGCAGGTCGTTTTGTGATCTCTAGAGTCAAACGTCATCTACCTTATAAAGCTATTTCTTACAAAAGTCTAGACATTATATTATCTCGAAAATGATTAGTTGGTTTGACGCCTTTCCGTTCTGCTATTAGTACCTCCGTTGTCGAGCATTGGACACAATCGAATATTTCACATTTTTACGTCTCAGATATATTTAACGGCGGATAGATAGTAACGGTTAATCCGTTACTATCAATCTACTAGAACACTATTTCAACCTGCATACTGCAATAATTTAAGTACTCGGCATTTAAGTATGTTGCAAATTTAAACTGGCGTCACGTAGCTCGATAACCAGTGTTTACGTAAAGCCTCTTGAACTCAATCCATACAACATATTTATGTGCAATAAATTTAACGCAATAGAGCATCAAACGTGGCGAGACCTCAAGTGAATTTGTAATACATTTTATCTCGTTAAATAAGCCGACGACTCGACTTCGATCCCAAATTGAATAAAATAATGTTAATATATATTCAAAGATTTCCAATAATAATCGAATGCAAGATTTGTTTGCAAGTTTACTTTCCATCGACTGTGTTTTTTGTTAGAATTGTTATTACTATACAAAAAGGATGGCTCCTAAGAAATACACTGAACTATCTTACAAAATTTTGAACTATATGACAAATATGATGCCCTTATAATTTTTTTTATAGAATAGGGTGACAAACTAGCTGACAGTTCGCCTGATGGTTAGTGGTTGCTGAGGCCCATAGATATACTTAATCAAAATGCAGATGCGTTTTCACCCGTGAGGACTAAGATGGAATGCCTCGTTTCCAGTAAAAAGGGTCTCCGGTTCTTTACACACACCATACGAAACAGAGCAGCATTAAGTCACTATTTTACGCTAGTATTCTGTGAGAGCGTGGTCCTTCCCCGGTCGAGCCGACCCATTCGTGCTACAACTATACTACTAATGTACCTGCAGCATGGCTCTACCACGTATAAAATACGCATATAATAATGTAATATATGGAGGGCCTATGTTTAGCAGTGGACTTCGATAGGTTTGTAATGATGATGACATCAAATTTAATCCACAAGTATATAAAATAGGTTTATTTACCTGATAGTGTGGGGCTCGTAGTGGTTGGCAGCACGGAGAGCGTCGGCTCTATACTTGACCTGTACAGCGCTGGCGTGAGTCTTCTCGACCGCCACTTGGAACTGATCGTGTTCGCGCTTCAGCTGCTCCGCCTCGGCCAATGTGCCCGGTATCGAAAACGAGGCGGCTAACATCGCTTCACCGTTTCTTATCCAGCTCACTACTTGGGCCGCGTCTTTTTGGAATTGGCCTGTAATGCATAACAACAGTTTAGTTATATCAAGCTCTCTAATTTCGACAGCTTCTTAATAGCAACATATTTTAGTTTGGTAATATTGGTTTAATAATTAATGTTTAAATAATCTTATTAATTCAAACAGTATTTTGAGGATTTTATCGAGATTACTTTTACTACTCGACATTTTAATGTTTTCAGGATCAATAGCCACTTTTAATAAAATTCTTAGCATATTTTTTAAGGGAGCATGCGGCTTACTTGATGGTAAGTGACTACCACCGTACATGAACAACACAAAACCAGGGGAATCACAGATGCGTTATCTTTCCAAAATATGGATTTCATTTTTCTTGAGACCCATTTTCGTCGCGCGAAGAGGTCGTCCTATAAGATATCTAAATGCTCATAGACCCTCTTAGGCCGCCACCACAAGGCTGCTAAATATCTTATGGTTTCCAAGTAATAACCATTTCGTATTTATGCCAGGTCTTACCAATCCCCCTGCACATTGTTTTGTTTATAAAAATCTTACCCAACCTTCAGATTTTCTCCCGTATCGTAAAAAGCGTTTTACAAACATAAATTACACCGGACCCAAATTTAGTAGGTCTTACTAAATACGATTAACGAATACCGCATATCTGAATACTGCCAGTATTCGGATACACAGTCACTAAGCAGAACTTTTCCAAAAATTTGTGCTGGCGTTTCCTGATAACACATTGTCTCACCGAGTTGCACGCATTGTTCGAAGCGCGCACGGCGTTCTTCCGCGAGTTCTTCGAGGTCGAGTTGTCGATCGTGAAGGAACTCGAGTAACAATTGCACTCGAGCTTGTGCATCGGGTGGTGCCGCCTCGGAATTCTCTCCAGTCCCCGCAGACATCACCTCCGAGGCTTCTGCTATAGCTGCCGCCAGTTCCTGGCCCTGTTGTACCACCTATGGAGGAAAAATTTGATTCCATTATCTCAATCATCATTATATAAGTCAGTTTTAAATGATTTGTTAAAAAAATCTTAATACAAGGCCGCTTGTCAATCACAAATATAAGAATTTTCGGATCTAGTTACTTTAATTTTTAACTGGTTCGGCCTACGACCTAACTAACGACCTACTCTAAACAGCTTGTAACAGCATCATCCTCGGTTCAACTGACGATGAGTGATTGCTTTGCATTTTACGCCTTCCCACGCATCCCGAGTTTTCTGCACCAGACAATTTGAATTGAGATGTTAAACGGAAATTATTTTTATGTTACGACCAAATATTTACTTATGAATAAAATCATGCGTGTAACGGCATTTATTCACATTCATAAAAGTTTAAAGTAATTATAACGTAAACACACAGCGCTTACAGCCCGTACTATATTATTTATATTATCTTAATGTTCATATTAACATCTTGTCCACATCTTCGATAAAATTCACTAAATATTGCTATGGTTGAAATCAGTCCAGAGATCATCAAACCAAACCAAACGCGAACAGTTTCATGTATGTAGTCATCAATCAAAGAAAAAAATCAATCAACATCTTTGCAACCAGCAGTGCGATTGAATAACTCATGTGGGAATCACGGTTAGCTTCATTTTGACTGTTACCCGTTGGTTTTGATGTATTGTGTAAATGCATAAGTATCCATTTTGCGGAGTGATTATTACCGGCAACGATTCCCACCAAAGTTACACAATCCCAGTGCAGATCTGAAAACTAATAACAGGGTACTTGACACTATAATACATAATTTTTTTCATCATATGATTTTAATTACAATCAAAACTTAGTAGTTTTTCAGTTTAAGTTTAGTTAGATTTTTAGTATACAAAAATATACAAATAAAATTATTTATTGACTATAAAAGCTGATATTATTACACTGTATTTTGCTATTATTTCCATAAAAATGTTTTAACTCCACTTTATAAATATTTCAATTGACTACAGTGTCAAATATCCTATTAGCGTTCTCACACAAATGTTGGCTCCGATTGGGATTCGAATAAGGGGCCCGCGGCGTAGCAACCGTATCGCATCTAAATAAGTACTGTACCTGAAATGTAGCGTGCTGCATTCTGGCGACGCTCTCGTTGTGAGCGGCGAGCGCTTGCTCGGCTTGTTGCGGGTCGCGTGGCGGCTCAGTCCGCTGTAGCTCATCGCCCCACAGCTCTAGCCGGGACGAAACCTGCCGAAATTGACGCCAGCTAACAACCGGTTTGTAGCAAGTGCATGAAAACAAGCACATGAAAACCAAGGCCCTTAGCACTGGAACCGTCCAATCAAGCAGACAGACTTCGACTGTTTCGCATTCAAAGTTCGTTGCGGTTGCGTCCGATGCGCTTCAATTGCGCGTTAAAAAGGCGTCATGAGCATTTTTACACAGTGCGCACACTATAATTTGTATAGTACGAGAAACTAGGTTAAATTACGAAAAGTCGTAAAAAAAGTTAAATTTATAGATAATTTATCTCTTTACTACTAAAAGAACGTGAATACGAATGAAGGTTAGGAACTGCGTCTCTTGAGACGCAGGAACCTATACTTCATCAAACGCGAACAACTTGAACAATGACGGCAACCCCAATAAGGAACTGCGTGAACGTCATGGATGACGATGAATTAGGAATTCCATTGTAATAGCCAACACAACTCTGTTTATGTATATTGGATGACCGCGCTATAATCATAAACATAATATATATGCAATACACGTCAATTAAACTGAAAATAAAATTTAATGTTTGCGGTGACACTTTTAATTACATTAAACACAGGTAGGTATACCTAATAGATAGATATTAATATAATTATTAATACTAGATAATAAATTTATAAAAATTCAACATTTCTTACGAAATGGACCACAAAATTATCCCCATTAAAGAGTAGAAGCTCTTTAAACAGACCGTATCCCGAGTGTTACAAAAGTAGGTCAGTATTTAATTACTTTTTTATTTAAAAAAAACTTAACAGTATACAAATGCAAGCTATTCGTATAAATTCCAAATAAATAACAGCAGGTAGTATTTAAGGTGCATATTTTATTTATTTATTATATGTTAGTAAAACATTAGACCTAAATACCACACGATGGAGAGAAAAACCTACTTATTAATTAGAGTAAAACCTGATGATGTATGTGCTTCAGGACCGTACCTCGTGGCCGTTTCTATGAGGCTAATAATTCATCATCACCATCATTACAGCCCTTCACAAGTCCAATGTTGAACATAGGCCTTTCTCCCAAGGAATGCCACAAAGCACGGTCCCAGCCATTGCATCCATCGGTTTCCTGAAAGTTTTACCAGGTCGTCACTCCATCTAGTGGGGGCCGCTATACACTTCGCCTACCGGTACGACCGGTACGGTTCTTCCCCGTCGACTTATAATTTATAGTGAACTAATGATGAGCTACAGTGATATAAGGATGTCGACTATGAAACCCGTAAAATGATCTTGACGTTGAAACAAGTAAGTTGAAGTATGTATTTTTTTTAAATATAGTGTGCGTCTTTTACTCGTATTATTTCTAGGTTTTAGGTACCTACACTATAATTCTCCAGATGACGTTTAAAGTTGTCACACATTTTCAGAGATTGATTTCAAACTTAATATATTTAAATTATGTGTCACTTTGTTTGTCCGCGATGGACTCTTATACTACTTAACCGACTTTAATCAAATTTGCACATCGTGTGCAGTTCCGTCCAACTTGAGAGATAGGATAGTTTTTTTGCCCATGAGTGACCCACTTTTTTTGCGAATTTAAGGATTTTTAATAGGACAGAACAACATCTGCCTGGCAAGCTAGTATAATGTATATGTTACAGCTAACGTTAGTGTTAATAATTAGCTTAAGATTAGCCAGCTAAAACTTAGTTCAGTTTGGATCATAGGATAATGCCATCATCATTTCTCAAGCTTAACCGTCTATACTTACGTGTAACCTAAACCAAGCCGATTATTATTACCGATTCCGGTCGTTTGGCTCGGCGAGCGTATTTTTCCGTCGATGCGACCCGGCCCGGCCCGCCCCGCCTTCAGTGGGCGCATGGAGCGTAGCATATGTAGTAGAACATTGCAGCTAGCAGACGTATGTATTTACGTAAAAACTGAACGAGAAACTACTTATATCGTTCATCACAATCATCATCATTACAGCCCTTCACAAGTCCACTGCTGAACATAGGCCTCCCCCAAGGTATGCCACAAAGCACGGTCTTGAGCCACCTGCATTCATCGACTTCCTGCATGTCTCACCAGGTCGTCACTCCATCTAGTGGGGGGTCGCTGTACACTTCGCCTACCGGTACGAGGCTGCCACTAGATACATCCTAAAGGATGGCACTGTCGACGTCTGTCGAGCTTGTCGCCATCCCGGGGAGTCACTTAGGCATGTCATCTCCGGTTGTTCAGCGCTTTCTAACTCTGAATACTTGCACAGGCACAGAATTCTACACCAGGAGCTCGCTCTGAAATACGGTCTCATGGACCGGAAGTTGCCGTATTACAAGTACTTGCCGGAAGCCGTGCTCGAAAATGACCGCACCAGGCTCCATTGGGACCGGGCCATCATCACAGACAGGACAATTCTTGCGAATAAGCCTGATATTGCGCTGATGGACCGGGCGCAGTCAAGGACATTTTTGGTCGACATTACCATTCCGTATGACGAGAACCTCGTGAAAGCCGAAACAGATAAACGAACAAAATATCTGGACCTGGCTCACGAGGTGACCGACATATGGGGTGGTCTACCGGCCGAAATTATTCCTGTAGTCGTCTTTGCGAATGGGCTAATCCCAGTCAGCCTCTCGGGTCATCTGAGGCGACTGGGACTCCGTGACGGACTGCTCCGGGCTCAAATGCAGAAGGCGGTGCTCCTCGATACCGTCCGCATCGTCCGCCGGTTTCTTTTCCTTTCCTCCTAACCCTCGGCCGTTTGGTCTCCTCTGCCGAGGCCTTCCACTTGCCACTCGAGAACCTTTTTTCCCCAACGGTTGGCGGTTCTTCGAGCTATATGGCCGGCCCATTGCCACTTCAGCTTACTAATCCGTTGGGCTATGTCGGTCACTCTGGTTCTACTGCGGATATCCACATTTCTAAGTTTATCACGCAGAGAAACTCCGAGCATAGCCCTCTCCATAGCTCGCTGAGCGCTCTTTGAATGTCCTCATACGGCCAACAGTGAAGGACCACGTCTCGGTTCCGTAAGTCATCACTGGCAACACGCACTGGTTGTACAGCTTAGTTTTCAGGTTTTGAGGTATAACTGACGAGAAGATGTGTAATTTCCCGAAAGCTGCCCAGCCGAGTTGAATCCATCGATTGACCGGTCGATTGATTGGTCGAAGTTGGACTTACCTAGTCGGACTATTTGTCCCAGGTAAACGTACTCGTCAACAACTTCGAGCTTAGTGCTCCCAACAACTACCGGCATAGGTGTGACATGGACATTAAACATGATCTTTGTTTTGTCCATGTTCATCTTAAGACCTATCCGTTGGGAGGCACTATTGAGGTCATTGAGCATAGTGCTTAAGTTCTCCAGCGATTCTGCCATAATGACTATATCGTCGGCAAATCGAAGGTGAGTGATGTACTTGCCATTGATGTTAATACCGTATCCTTTCCAGACGTCCAAACGTCTTCCAATGCAGCAGTGAAGAGTTTCGGGGAAACAACGTCACCCTGACTTACACCTCTCTGCAGTTGGATAGGTTTCGTACTCTGGTTCTGTGCTCGGATAGCCATCGAAGCCCTACTGTACAAACACTTCAGCACTTCGATATACCGACAGTCAACTTGGCACCGCTGAACAACTGTAGCACCGCCCAAATTTCGACGGAATCAAAGGCTTTCTCATAATCCATATACGCCAGGCAAAGTGGCAGATTGTACTCTTCGGACTTCTGTACAATTTGCCGAAGGGTGTGTATGTGATCTATGGTACTAAACCCTTTTCGGAAACCGGCTTGTCCGGGAGGCTGGAAGTCGTCGAGTCTGCGTGCGAGACGATTCGTAATGACTTTCGAAAAAAGCACGTAGACGCGGCTCAGAAGGGATATCGGTCAGTAGTTTTTCAAGAGGGCGTTGTCACCTTTCTTGAAGAACAAGACCACCGCACTTCTGTTCCACGCCTCCGGAGTAGTGCCACCATGGAGGACGGAATTAAAGAGCCTATTAGTTATTAGTTCAACAATATTCGGAATCATTCTTCAGGTCATAGAATAAGTGATAAAATTCACCACAACATCAGCTTTTCTTGCATATATCGTGAACTCAGACTATATGTTTGCGAAGTTTATTATTTTCTTGATCCTTAGGTCAATAACATTAATAAAAATATTTACTTATCGGAGCTATCCATTGTCACACTACCGTAAGCTCGCTTGTCATTCGTGCGACTGACTGTAAAAATCCGCCGATGCAGCGCGGCCTGCCCTGTACGTAGGACCCTCAATAAGTTTTGAGATATACAAAAAGTATTCTAGATACTATTAATATTTAAACAAAGTTAGAGCTGAGTCGCCTAGTGCTGATTGTAACCGGATTGGTTAATTAATAAATCATAGTATTGATTGTTTAAATGAAAGGGAGCGTTGCAGGAAAATTAATAGAACTTTGTTTTTTTTTTTATATGAGCAATTGGCTTATGGAGTTCTTTTTTTTTGCTGACATATAACACGGGTGCGTTCCATTTTTAAATTTCGAGCATCTCAAAACTTATTGAGTGACCTACGTATAGAGGACGCAGTTCGCAAAATGCTCGCCGCGTTATACCGAATTAGTCGGGTAACATATGCAATACACCCTATTCAGCCGAATCAGATATTCGGTACCAAATGATATGCAAAGAAAGGTGTTTTTGAAATGTTCGAATAAATTATAAATACACGGGACAGACATCCAGTTTTTAATTATTAAACGTTAGGTAAATAACAAAACAAACATTTGCAATATTAAGTATACTAGCACGACTCATATAACTGTATCTAAATAAATAATGTTTTTGTTGTCATAGTTACGCGCCATCACAATTTACTCGTAAAATACGCCTCCCACCAATACTATCCTAACTGTTACAAAGCATTCATGGACATAAGCCGTCCGTCAAATATGTTGTTGAATATTTCTCTTTATTTTAATAATTGTTCAAATTTGGAATATATTCTTAGTGAAGGATTACCTCAAGCGCATCCCTTTCGAAGTGTCGGAGCTGTAATGTGAGTTCAAGGCGCCGCTCGCGGTCCGACCATAACTCTTCGAGGGCGCCGCGAGTGCCTCGAAGCCTCTCCAGGGTTGTTTCCACAGCCGACGTACTCGCTGCATCGGAGTCTCCCGACGATCTTTAATAACCAATATAAACGGTTTATGCATAAATATTACACTCGCCAATAAAATATGCTTGTATTGGTTTTCTGTTACGTGCAAAAAAAAATTTATATATTTCAAATCATATCATGTTAAAACTGTTTGATCCTTATTAGTTTGGAACTTATAGGTCTGATGTTTATCTAGTACTTATGACAAAAATGTGCTAACTGTTTTAGAAGTCAAATATGTCTTAAAAGTGACTAATGGGATATTGGGTTTGGTATTGTTTGGGCGATGGTCTAGCCACCTATCACTTCTATTAAAATTTTCCATCTACACCCATATTTTTGGCAAATTGATATAACATCGCGAGGAAGCATGTCTGAGAAATAATAAAAAATAATTCAAAGACATATGAAGTTCGCCAACACGTATTGGGGCAGCACGGCGGGCATATTTCCTTGCCCTAAAACCATCTCAGAAATGAAAGATCTGTGCCCAGCCGTGGGGCGTATATAGGTTGTAACTTTAACTATGTAAGATATGTACGACTCGTATGTATGTTAAAATATGACACGTTGTACTTATTAAGTAAGCAGAAATTCACTGTATCATACAACCTTTAAAACTTATTACTTATTATTCCTTTTCATGGATATACAAAAGAAAATTTTAAACTAAACTTCAAAAGTGAATTATCTTTTGTAATTATAGCTAATGCAGAAAATATAATGAAATTCCACCTGGTAGTCATTCAAAATGTCTGAAGAAATTGTACATTAATTAGCTCAAACTAACGAACCTAGCATTCGAAGCAAAGGGGCAAATTTTAATTCGTGACCTAGTTATATGTATATTAAACTTTCAGTCCTGGGACGTCGCTGGAACTTTTTGTTTGCTTTTTATTGACAGGTTAGTAAAAAAAATACATCTCTGCATCACGCAGCAAAACTCATATGGAATTAGTTGTCGGCATCATATAACATTCAGATTTACACAATTCTTAAGTATTGCAGAAATCGCAAAAGCATTTTAACACTTACAATCAATACATTTTATCCACACTAGACACAAACACTAACCTCCATCGTAGACACTGCACAGGTGATTTGTGCCTGTGCGAGCGTCGGTGATATTTGAGCATTTTACGCTAAAATGTTCATTTCACCGTTTGGCACCACTGCCTAATCGTTTTTTCGATGTCTTCGATCACAGCACCGTACCAAATAACCTGCCAGTATCGTAATGATTACGTACCAGATGCGTTAGTTTACGGAGGAGAATTATGTAGATGGTGATTAGGAGTCGGCAATGACCCAGTAACGCGAGGCGCCTACTGTTATGTTACGGTTACGGTTAGATAGTGGATTTCTTACGCAGACTTCTTATAGTATGCATAACCAGCTGCGCACGTCATTACGAGATGCAGTGTTTGTTTTCGCGGATTTTCGCGGAGTGTTGACAAACAGATCGCGAGCTGTCGTGAATCGTAAGCTGTGCCGTGAATTGATATATAAACATAATGTCAATGTGTTTTGTGTTTGTCGCAGCAATTTGAATAACTTAACCAATCAATCATTTTATTCGTTTTCACAGGTAACAAGGTTAGATTTTATATTACCTCCGTGAAATGGGAATTTATATATAATGTGTATGGATTAAAAAACAAAATTAATATATATGAAAAACAAATCGAAATAACAATTAAATGAAGTAGAGTCAAAATAAGATTATTAAATTACATATTTAAATTATTAGTAAATAGAAATTCATTGACATTATAATAACATTCATCTATAAGAAATTTACTTAGAATAGATTTAAATTTTTGCAAATTATAACATTTTATGTGATCAGGTAATTTATTATATAATTTAGGGCCACAAAAATAACGAAGATAAGAAATAAAACAAACTATGTATTTGAAAAAAAAAATAAAGATCCTGTTTTGAAAAGGGAAATAAGGAAACTAACCCAAGGGGGACGGATCAAAGTGAAACTTAGCTGAAGTGTTTTCTACCCGTTGCTCGACTTGGTCATTCGGACATAGCACGACTGCAATAGATTGTTAAAAACTTATTCTTCAAATTTCTTGAAACCCGGAAATCCTTTTAATAAAAAGAAAACTTAACGCAACATCCTGTCATTGTGTACGCAATATTATCACCAAATACCAACGTTAAAGACAAACATTGACACGCTTACTTATACCACAATGTTTTGTAAAATTGTTTTAAAAACCATTAACCTCAGGTGATACAATGAAAATAATGTGATAACTACGAAAATTAACAATGATGCTATGAAACAGTTTTATAATTCTACATAATAATCATTTTATTATGTCCACACAGACTTCTCCTGGGTCCTCTATTAATACGGTCTTATTTGAAGAAACAAGTAATTCGGATAAAGTATAGCTCATACCGTTCGTGACGTTTCATCATAATTCGTTCAGCCATGTTGACATTAGCCCAGACAACAATTTTTTTTACAAATAGTTATTCATGTCTCAATGGCATGCAAATTTAAGTAGTAAATTTTACGCGGTAGAGTCACGCTGCAGCTATATTATGGTCGTAGCACGGATGGGTCAACTCGACCGGAGAAGGGCCACGTTCTTACAGATCGACCGGATAAAGGCTATACGTTCTTACAGAATACCAGAGTAAAACAACTTAATGCTGCTGTGTTTCATATAATTAGTGTAGAAACCCAATTAATAGGAACTAGGCATTCCATCTTAGTCCTTAGGGGTGACAATGCATCTGCATTTTGATTCTTAATGAAGGATAAATGTAGATGTCTATGGGCCACAGCATCCACCTACCATCAGGTGGACTGTGTGCTCGTTTGTCACTCTTATTTTATTTAAAAAAATAAGGCAGTTAGCTCAATATTACAGGCATACACTTTAATTTTTATTTTATTTATATAATATAAATGCATAAGGTAAATGCAGATTATTTATTTCACGAATACTTAAAAAAGCAGGTAAATAAAAATTTGTCTATAAAACATAGATTAAGCTTCTTAAGGACGTTCACTAAAACGAGAAATCGGTTTCCTTACAAAGCAACGCATTTGCCACCGATTATGGAGATTGGGCCAACAAGGCAACGCGACAGCTGTTGCAGTAGAGATAAAAGTACTGATTTATTTTAAATCGGAGCTACAACAATTTTCAATTTGTTTACATAGTAGAATAACGCTGAGGCCTAATTCTTGTAGCAGCACAAATAGGTCAAATCGACCGGGAAAGGACCACGATTGCACAGAATACCAGCGTGATAGATTATCATTAAACGTTGTGTATGGTAAGTGACGTGTACTAGAACCATATATGCATACTGATTCTTACCCAAGAGATAGCACAACTTTTCTATCACCGCCCTCTTACCTATTTTTGGCCGCTAAATAACAGCAACGTTTTAAAATTTCAACGTATTTTAAGTAATAATTTTGCTAAAAATTACTTTTAATAAAAAGTAAAGCCGACTTCTAATAACTAAAAGGAACCAAATATGTTGACATTCTGAAGTCGGGTGCTTAAGACATTGTGTAAATAGAACTTGAAATGTTTTTTCTTGTTCGTAGTTTGAAGTCAGCGTTAATATTTTATTAAGTTTCTTTTTTTTTACTATTAAGTGGACAAAGGAATATCACAATCACAATAAAGTCTAAAAAGTTCCATTAAAGAACTTCTCCCACTATTGCACGACTCATAAGCGAAGCGTTGAGGTTGTGCTCTACTCTCACCTAATGGAAAACCAGTAATTTTCTGAGCTAAAAATGTCTGCAGTTTTTTACTATTGCACTTTTAGAATAATAAAAATACACATATATCGAGAAAAATCACTCGTTTTCACGTTTCTATTAGTTTTTTTTTTAATTCTGTATTTAGTGTAAAAACAAACCAATTGAAAAAATTTTTCGAGTGTCCGGATGTCTGTATGTGTGGATGGCGCACGATTACGGTCGTTAGAATTAATGTATCAAAATAATTCTTTTTTTTATTAGGTTTAGAATCGCAACGCACAGGTTCCTTTTAAAAATCACTGAGTTATTTCATCATTATCATCATTACAGCCCTTCACAAGTCTACTGCTGAACATAGGCCTCCTCCAAGGAATGCCACAAAGCACGGTCTTGAGCCACCTGCATCCACTGAGTAATTTGGTCTCGTTTAATTGTAATTAATGAAAATGTAAAAACAACTGGTACTTTTCTACAAAAACATATTCTCATGGATCTCTTCTTTCGTCTCTTTATCTCTCGTTTTCATATATGGAAAAAGAGATATTTTTCTTTTTATATAATCAAATGAGATGAGAAGGCGTGCACTTTTGGATTTTCCAAACTTTTAATATTTTGCCCTGCATATTTTCTGGGACATTATTGTAAAAGCGTATACATTATCCAATTAAGAAATGACTGTCATTTTGCAGTTGACATTTTTTGCATTAGTGCATTAGTGCAGTCATGGTTCGTGTAATCTGAATGAGCATAGAGCTGTGTTGAACAGATTCTATGAAAATATTGTACAAATATTGTGTAGCGCAGCTAAGGAGACTTGTGGGGAGCGCTGCTGTAAATATGACCAGAGAAAACATCTATGTGGCTGGAACAAGCATGTTCGTGCAGCTCATGCGGAGGCCAGGCTTAAGTTCAAAGTTTGGGTTCTATACAATCGACCTACCTCGGGCATTTTTTACGAAGAAATGTACGAGACGCGTAAGATTTTTAAAAGTCGCCTGAAATGGTGCCAGAATAATCAGGAACAATTAAAAATGGATATTTTGGCTAAACATAGAGCAGCTAAAAATTTTCATAAATTTTGGCAAGCTACAGGAAGGCAAGAGGTTAGGCCTGGTCTCCCAGTGAGTGTGGGCGGGATTAATGACCCTAATGATATAGCTAACACGTTTAGAGATCATTTCAGGGTGCGCTCGCCACATGGCTCCTCGACCGCGTCTAGTAATTCTATGCCCGGTTGCTTAGGGGGTGGACCGCCAGTACATATCACTGCAAA